AGGTGGGTGTCACAGGAATAGGGCAATCTGGCTGCATCCTTCGGCAGCCCCCGGTGCAGGTGGTCACTGCCAAGGCCTGCACCTCCCCTTGCCCTCATCCTTAACCCCAGCCATGTCCCGCTGTCCAGCCGTATGGATTCGAGCAGATGGAAAAACAGCCAGTGTCTCCCAGGCGGGCAAAATGGGATTTCAGGACCTGAGGGTTTGCAGGGCTGGCTGCGGGTTGGAATGACTGTGGGAGCTGCAGCATTTCCTGACATTTGGGGCATCACCTGGGAGTGGTGGGGGTAGCGGGGGTGGATGTTTAGCCCTGGGGTCCTGTCACTGCAGGGTGTGGGTGCTGGAGCAGGGTTGGGTGCTGGAGCTGGAATAGACATGGAGGCAGCCAGACCGGAATGCTCAGTCCCCTTATTGTGTCATGGAGTCGGAGACCAACCATGTACTCAGTGCAGCCTCCCACAGGATCTTTCCCAGGAGCTCCCTGATCACATTTATCAGGAGTTTGAGGGTGCTTAAGCACAAGCCTGTCACTCTGCAGAGGCCACCTGGCCCCAGCAGTGATGAACGCTCCACGTGGCCCTTTTCCCTCCTCCCATGCCCGTGGCATCCACACGTGGCTCAGGGGGGCAGGGATGAGCCAGCATCTCTCCAGGCACCCCGTCACCTCAGGTCTTCCCACCAAGGGCCTTTCTTTTCCCATGTGCCTCAGTTTCCCTTCTGCATGTGCCATCAGGGCTCACAGACAGCGACTTCTCAGCTGCTTGCAGGCATTAGGGGGGTGTGGGGAGGCCCAGGAGAAGGGTATGTGCCCATGGCTGTTTTCTACCTGTGTCCCTGCCAAAACAGAGCAGGTTTTTCTCATTAGGGATGCACTGTGGTAGCAGCCTCTTGCCTGTCCTCCCTGGCAGTGGAGGGGAATCAGGGAGCCATTTATTCTGCGGATACATTGTGAGATATCCTGGCCCTGCCTCATGCTGACCCTTAATTTATTGGAAGTGCTCCAAGACGAGGAGTCAGAGGAGGGAGTAATTCAGGCACTGGTGCTGCCCCAGCACAGCTCAGGGAGCCCCCAGCTCTGCTGCTCTCCCCTTGCTTTGTGAGTGCTCAGTGCCGGGTCGCTTTGTCTGGACATGGATGAGCAGGACAGACTTGGGCACCCTTTGGCTGAGCCCAGGTGGGGAGCAGAGCTCCCTCCTCGCCGCTGACATTGCTGTCCTGCTGCTGGGCCTTGAAGGGCATCTCTGTGGGAGATAGCAGCGTTATCTCCCGGCATAGGGCAGTGTTATCTCCCAGCACATGGCGGGAAGCAGCTCCGAGTGTGACCTCCTCACACCGACCCCTCCCGCATGGTCACCCTCACCCGCCCCAGCGGGACCTGCATCCCCAAACTCAGCTCCTCCAAGTGCCCGCCGAGCCGATTCCACCTGAACACAGCCTGGTGGTCTGCACAATTCCATGGGAAAATCAGTGCTGGGAGGATGAGAAAGCTGGGGGGCAGCCCTGATGGCTCCAAAAAGCGTCCCCTCTGAAGGTACAGGGAAAGGTGTGATGATAAATCGCATCGACACCTTCAGCCGGCTCTAAATAATGACTTCCCCGGCACTCGACACATTTTCCCAGCGTGCTGGCTCTTCCTAATATTGTTGTAACATTTAACATCCCTTTAAAAAAAAAAAAAAAGAATAAAATAAATAAGATTAACAGTGCAGTTGGCAGATTGCTGGAGACACTTGGATTCTCTGCGGGAAACGGCTCCGCGGTGGGAGTTGGGTTGCTGCAGTTTCGTGGCAGGAGTTGTTGCCTCTCGTGTCAGTTCATTAGCTGGGGCAGTCCGTGGCGTCACTGCCTTTGGAGCCACGGGGAGCCAGGGGCCCGTTCATTCCCGAAACTAATATTATGAGCCTGTTTTGTTTCCTGCATGTTAACACTATTAGCGCTGCACGAGGCGCGTGGCGTGAGCGGCAGGGGATAGTCCCGGTCCTGCCCGACACCCAGCATGGGCTTGTCTGCACTGAAGCTGGGCTGGGGATGGGATTAATGGGCAGTGATTATTAGGGGAAGTTTTGGGTTTGTTCCTGTGAGGTAAAATTGTGATGGTCAGGGGTGTGAAATTCCCGGCAAGGAGGCAGGGGAGGGGGATGTATCTCCCTGTAACACCTCCACCAGTCCCCTGGGGCAGTGCTGGTTGTGGGGAGATGCCACGAGTGATGCTGGAGGATGCACTCCTGGCCCAAGGAAGTGTAAGGTGACCATGGGGACATGGTCCCCAGCTGGTCCCCCCGTCAGAGCCTGTCCAGCAATGAGTTTCCATGTGTTGGCACGAGCCCTCTCCCAGCCCGAGCCTCCCACGGCGGCAGCCTGGGGCTCCAGCCTTCGAATTTAAACCAAACCAGAAATTCGGCTTCCAGTGAACTCGAGAAAGTGTATTTCCAAACAAAACTGTGCTAAATAAAGTACGACCCGCAGGCGGCCTCCTGCTCCGACAGATCCACTCTGCTGCCTTTATTTAGCTGCCGTCTCCCCGTGGTGCCCCTGCTGGCCTGGGACGGGAAGGGGGGGGGGGTTTGATCCTTCCAGGAGCTCCGGTGCTTCGGGAAGGACTCAATCCCGTGGTCTTGGGGAACGCTGGGGACATGGGCTTTGTCACAAGAGCTGCCCTGTACCCAAAGGAAGGAAGGAGTGGAGAGAGAAAGGAAGAAAAAGGTACAAAGGAAGGGACAGAGAAAGCAAGAATGGAGGGCAGCAAGGAGGGATGGGGAAAAGGGTGCAGGCAGGGGGGAGCAGTGGTGGTGATTGAGGAGCACAAGGGTCCCTGGGAACCTCACCCCAGGTAAAGGCAGCGCTGCTGCCTCCGCAATCACCCAGCCACGTCTCCCTTTCCAGCGCAGTTAATCCAGGCCCCAGCTAATCCTCCCGCAGGTCACTGGGAGCTCACTGCATTTTGTTCACTTCTCAAATGCATCTAGAATTAATTAAAAAAAACACACCCAACTCTAAATTCGTCATGTGGCAAAAGCACTCAGTGTATTCCATGGGGTGAGCTGGGGGGGTGGTGGAGAAGCAGCCTTTTCTGGCCCCAAATGCTCAGCTCTCATTAAAAAAAAAAAAAAAAAAAAAGGAGAGAAATTAATGGGTGTAGCCAGGATGATCAGGAGGAAGACTTGGGATGCGAGACCAGGTTGGAGTTGGGCAGTGTGAACCTGCAGCTGGCCTGACAGGTCAGCTCTGCAAGGCCGCTTTGGTCCCATATGACTTCTAGTGACTATGGGGCTGTAAATATTGACCATTAATATTAACTGATTGTGCCTATTTTATTATTTCCCGTGTCTCTAAGGAGGGGAAGGCTCTCATGCTGATGGCCCCAGCCGTGTGAGAGCAATCCTTTGGTCTGCTGAGACGCCAGCCAACAACTGTGGCATTTGAAAAATCAACTTTGTGGATAAAAAGTGGTTGTGCCCAGGTTGGAGCAGGTGGAGATGTGTTGTTTGGTGTGAGGTGGTGGCACACGTGGGTTTGTGTCCAGCACCTGAGAGGTTTGGGCAGTGCTCCCGCTTGTGGTGTTGGGCTTCTGGAGGCATTCCTGTTTCCCAGGCTGGATTTGGGGAGCATTTCAGTGAAAGGCAGTCCAGGGTATCACTGTGAGCCGGGCTGATGCAGCCCCAGGCAGGCTGTGCCTGGCAATGCTCCCTGGTGCTGGTCACTGTGTAATGGAAAGGGTGTGCTTGTCCCAGCGTGTCCCCAGGCACCGGAGCTGATTGCAGGAATCGACTGCATCGACTGGGCCAGCGGATCCGGCACAGCACGTACAGCCCGGCGGGTTCACCTCTGCCCCCAGGCAGGAGCTGCTGCCTCTGTGCTGCGAGCACGGGGTGTTGAGGGGGCCTCTGCACCTGATGCCTCACCACGTTGTTGCCCTGTGCAGGTGTCAGTGCCAGCAAGGTGGTTCCATCCCCAGTGACACATCCCATGGCATAGTAATAGGTGACCTGTGGCAGGAGATGGTTTGAGGAGTGTTCCATCAGTGCCAGCTCTTTGGGGTGCTTGGGATGTGCCACGTGGTTTGTCCACGATCCTGCCTATTCTCTGACACAGCCCTATGAGGGGCTGGGAGGGTCCAGCAGCCCAGCAGGGTCCCGTTGGTTTCCTCCACCAAGGGTCCACCTGCACTGAGGAGCCCACCCAGCTTGGGCCACCTCCCCCATGTCCATGTTACCTCTCTCCCAGGCAGTGTAGGTCCTTGACCCTGCAGCTGAGCCCTCCAGAAGGGACCAAAACAGCTCCCCATTCCCCAGTGGCAGCTGTTCCTTCGTAAGGCTTGGCCAGCAAAACCCATCTGTGACCGTAGATGGCTCCATGTCCCAATGGATACGTTGGGAAAGTTGCTCCTCAGGACATCTGAAGGCCCTGAGTAAGTGCCTTCCCGGGGCCTTCTCCAACCAGCTGCACATTGACCGTGTCCTCTCCCATCCTCAGGCAGGAGGACAGAGGTTAAATCCACATCTCCCTGTGCTTTCCCTTGACCCCAGAAGAGCTGGTGCTGGGAGGTCGGGCGCTGGGCTGGGCACTGATCCATCTGGCACGGGCAATGTGAACCAAAGGAGCCGTGTCCAGATGTACCTTTACTGATATCCATGTCCTAAGGAGAACAGCTCTGCCTTCTCACTCGCCTCTCCAGCTGCAGAGTTCATGAGAAAAGGGAGGTGGAGAAATTCCAGTGCTACCCAAGGTTTTCCATCCACTGGAGTTGTTGAGGGTTCCACAAATGCTGCATCACCCTGGCAAGGTTTTCCTCACTCAGTTTGTACTACAAAAGAACAAAATCTAGGACATTCTTCCTTCCTCCTGTGCGTTTTTTGGGAGCAGCCTGTCCATAGAAGGAGGAGTTAGGGCAGCAGAGGGGTTGTCACTCAACGTGCACCCCATCAGGCCCATGGCCAAGCAGCCCTTTGGGTCCCATTGCCATGAGAGGTAACGGCCGTGTCTTTGTTCTCTCATTGCAGAGCCTCTCACGGGATCAGCGTGGTGACGTGGCAGCCAGGACGTGGAATTTTGGGACTCCCCTTCCACCGCAACAGAATCTGGGGGGTGGGCAGGGGTGGGTCAGGGGGACACTGGGGATCGCAAGACCCTTCACCTTCACTGTGGGCTTGGCTCAGGGATGACCACAGGCAGGGTCAACCCTTACAGCATCGTGTCCTCCGAGGAAGACGGGCTGAGGTTGACCACCATGCCAGGTATCAACGGCTTTGGCAACGGGAAAATCCACACCAGGAGGAAATGCAGGAACAGGTTTGTAAAGAAGAATGGCCAGTGCAACGTGGAGTTCACCAACATGGATGACAAGCCACAGAGGTACATTGCAGACATGTTCACCACGTGCGTTGACATCCGCTGGAGGTATATGCTCTTGCTCTTTTCCCTGGCCTTTCTGGTGTCCTGGTTATTGTTTGGGCTGATTTTCTGGTTAATTGCACTCATTCATGGAGACCTAGAAAACCCAGGTGGAGACGATACCTTCAAGCCTTGCGTTCTGCAGGTCAATGGCTTTGTGGCTGCTTTTCTGTTCTCCATTGAGACCCAAACGACTATTGGTTACGGCTTCCGCTGCGTGACGGAGGAGTGTCCGCTCGCGGTCTTCATGGTGGTGGTTCAGTCCATCGTGGGGTGTATAATTGACTCCTTCATGATTGGTGCAATAATGGCAAAAATGGCCAGGCCCAAAAAAAGGGCCCAGACATTACTTTTCAGCCATAATGCGGTAGTGGCAATGAGAGATGGAAAACTCTGCCTGATGTGGAGAGTGGGGAACCTCCGGAAAAGCCACATAGTAGAAGCCCACGTACGAGCTCAGCTCATTAAGCCCAGGATCACGGAGGAGGGGGAATACATACCGCTTGACCAAATAGACATCGACGTGGGGTTTGATAAAGGCTTGGACCGTATTTTCTTGGTGTCCCCCATCACCATTCTCCATGAGATCAACGAAGACAGCCCCTTGTTCGGGATCAGCCGCCAGGACTTGGAGACAGATGACTTTGAGATCGTCGTCATCCTGGAAGGCATGGTAGAAGCCACAGCCATGACGACGCAAGCTCGGAGCTCCTACCTGGCTAGTGAGATCCTCTGGGGCCACCGCTTCGAGCCTGTCTTGTTTGAGGAGAAAAACCAGTACAAAGTAGACTATTCCCACTTCCACAAAACCTACGAGGTCCCGTCCACGCCGCGCTGCAGCGCCAAGGACTTGGTGGAGAACAAATTCCTGTTGCCCAGCACCAACTCCTTCTGCTACGAGAACGAGCTGGCCTTCATGAGCCGCGACGAGGAAGAGGAAGACGATGACAGCCGGGGTTTGGAGGACATCAGCCCGGACAACAGGCACGAGTTCGACAGGCTTCAAGCCACAATAGCGTTGGATCAACGGTCGTACAGGAGGGAGTCGGAAATATGACTCTTGGTCCTTCCGCTGACTTTTCCAAGGGTATTTTTTTTCCTTCCTCTAATCTCTTCCCCCGAAAACCCGCTCAAAATTATGCAGAACAATGCAAGTGCCATAGGAATGCTTGAGAAATTAGTCTCGTTCATAGTTTTCAGTTTCATCGCAATAACCACTGAGCGGTCTGCAGGAGGGGACGGTGGCAGCCCCCGGCGCGTGTCCCGCGCCCGGCGCCCGCGGCGGGGCCGACGGCTCGGGGGGGATGGACGGACGGATGGACAGATGGATGGAGGGATGAAGAGAGGAGGGTCTGTGGGGCATGGGCAGGCGCCGGCCCCGCACTGGCCCCGCGGGGCTTCGCTCCTCCCGCGGGGAAAACGCCGGCATTGTCTTGGAGCCGAGCACTGCGAGATCCAAAAAGAGGAAATATCAGGAAACAAATCTTACACTCTCTCTCTCTTTCTAATTTTTATTTTTTTTCCTTTTGTTTTTTAACCGAGCAGCAACAACAACAAAAAAAATTGCTCCTTCAGCAGGCGGTCTTGTTCGGTTGCACAAGAACAACACTTGAAATAACATGCAACGTTAATGTACTTCTTTTTAATTTGGGGGAAAAAAAATGGGGGAGGGAGGTGAGAGGGTTTTTAATTTTTTCACCGTACCGTTTGGGAGACTGTTTACCAAAATAATAATAATAATTATTATTATTATAATTATAACAACAATAATAATAATAATATTAAATCTGAAAGAAGTCATTCAGTATTTTTTAAAAATGAACAAGGGAATGAAGAAGCCACCAGGGTCCTTTGAGGGGGTGACTTGTTGGGCAGATTCAAGAGCTAGAAGTCAAGACAGCATCCAGTTTTGGGGTGTTTATTTTCCACTGGCGTGGCTTCATAGGCAGAAAACAGATGTAAGTGACTGGAGGTCCGTGGCAGTGAAAGGAAGTAGAGGAGTTACTGGCAAAGGAGGTAATAAGGATAAGAAGGACTGTGATAGAAAAAAAGTATTGTAAACACAGTAATTAGCCAATATCTGGAAATAGTGATTTTCAGGGTGGAAATGGGGTCTGGAACATCAGCTGCTGAATGTTGGGTCTCCCCCAACATCTCTGATGGGGAATTCATAAATTCCATCATGACTGGGACAAAATAATGAGAAGCACAAAAAGGAGAGCGGAAAGTTGTCAAAATTGGATATTTTCCCACCTTTCCAACCAATTTGGTATTTTTCTTTCCTGAAGAATATTTTTAAACGTGGGAACCAATGTGAAAGTCACCTTCTAGCACAGGAGCCAGCTCTGTGCCAGGCTGGGGTTTATGAATTCCCTATTCATCAGAGGGTTCTGCTTCAGAGGCAGATGTTTTTCCCAAAACAAGAGATGCCAGTCGAGAAAATCACCCCGTCTTGAGCTTCAACCCATCCCTGTGTCCCAGCCTCAAGGTGGATTGTGCCTTAGAGATGCGAACTCATCCTGCACCCCAGCCCTCCTCCATAGCACCCCTTTTGCATCCCCCCGCAGGGGCACGCTTCCTTTGCTCTGCAGCACCCACGTCCCCTCATCCACCGTGTTTTAGGCTGGCCTTGGTGGCAAGCTGGCTTAGCTTTTGCTCCAGCACAGGGCAAACCAGCCCGTGCTTGGGAAGCCTTGGCTCCTGCCCTGCTCCCCACTATTGCACAGGGGGAAGGAGTCGGGAAGATGCAGGTTGCGGGTCCCTTCATCCATCCATGCTGCTCATTGGTGCTCTGGGAGCCAAAATCCGGCTCCCCGCTCCCTGTGGCCATGGGAAAAGCTTTGTAGCCATGGGAAAAGCTTTGTAGCCATGGGCATCCCGCATCCTGGGCATGGAGCCCTGGCAGCACCCACCCCTGGGGAGAGGGGCTCGAGAGCGGGGTGCCCTGCAGTGTTTGGGGCTGTGACGGGCTCCCGGTGCTTTCCTCCCCCCAGTCCACGTCAGGGAAGCCAAGTCCTGGAGCCATAACTTGCTGTGGTGTGTCCAAGCAAGGGTGGCAGAGGCAGGATTTGTCCTGTGTCCCCATCCCCATCTCCTTCTGGCCAAGGGCTCTAGGGAGGGGCTGCCCCAGTGTGTCCCCCTGCCCTGTGCCACCGTGTTGGGCACTGGGACTTCATCCCCGCAGGGATTCTTCCCACCAGTGTCCATCACTGTCACCCCACGCTGCCGGACAAGGGGTTGCACCATTTTTGGTCGCCCCTAAAAACCAGCCACTGGGAGAAAACATCCCCAGGTGCGTTGTCCCCAAAAGTGAGGACACGTAGGGATGGGCCACTGAGCTCCAGCCGTGGCATTGATGTTTCTGAGGCAGCCAAGGTGGATTCCATCCCATCACCAGTCCCTTTGCTCCCAGGGGGGAGGGGTTTGCCCCCCCACTTTTTGCACCACAGCATCTGGGGGGGTTGGGAAGGATGGAGGGGGGGGGCAGAGAGATTTTGTGTGAGCACTACTTATTTATTTTTTTAAAATAAATGCTTTTAAGTGGTTTTAGGTTCTTTTTGAATAAATAATAATTATTACAAAAAAAAAAAAAGGTGCACATCTTGCTGCTGTAGAGTTCTCAGAGGGTTAATTTCTTTATATATATATATATATATCACAGTAAATATTTGTATAAAAACAAAAGAGAAATAGAGATGTCTTTAAGTAAATTATTGCTTTTAAAGGAACTTCTATGATTGTACAGTGTTACCTGGGAGAATAGAATAATATATACAGATGTATTTTTAAACTGCTGTGTAGGAGGATGTGAACTGGGACGGGGAGTGCCCGAGGCTGAAAGGGTGAGGGGGTGTTGGACTCTCCCCGGACCGTGTTCACTCCCTCCCTGCCCCAAACCCTGCTAGTGAGGGTCTAGCTCTGGTGAGACATCATAAATATACTGTATAGTCCTTGTCCTGGCCATGGACCATGCTGGTACATAGTGTATAAATATTATTTTTGCCTACCTGTGAGTGCTCTGAGCTACTGGTCTTTTTTCCTGCCATCAGGGAGCATCAGGAAGGCTGCCCAGCCATAGTTTTAATCACATAAATTGTCAGAGAAAGGGGTAACAAAAGAAAAACAAGGTGAAGGAAGCCAGAGAGTGGTGTCTGTTCAGCACTTCCCTTCCCTGGAGGGGCTGGGAAGGCACAGGGATGCTCTCAGTGTGGGGTTTTGGTGCCGGTCACAGCACGGATGGGGCTGAATCCCCGTGGGAAGGGGTTTGGAGCCGAGCAGGGGGAAACTTCCCCCCCCCCCCCCCAAAACAGCCACCGGCCATTTCCCTGAGCAAGCTAACTCCATCCTTGGAGTTTACTCCGGTGTTACACTTGATCCTGGGGGATGGCAGGAGTCCAACAAAGGAGAGAACCTCTAATCCTCTTGGCCAGCCTCATGCAGGGATTGCCCTCGGGGCAGCCACCCTGGTTGGGGACCAGGGGCTGGACCCGCTGCTGCTCCCACTTGGCTTCACCCCACAGAGATACACCAGTGAGAGCAGAAAGCCACAGCCCTGCACCCCAAATCCACCTCTGGAAAGAGCATCCTGTGCCCTGCCAGGCTGGGTAGGGGGTTCCCAGGGCTGGGGGCTGTCGGGACGAGCCTTCGCTTCTCACAAGCGAGTTTAGTGCCCTTAGTCTTTTCGGGCTGGGACAATCACTTAGCGCTCAACCTTCCGCGATTCGGTGCCTGCTTGACCTTCAAACCTTTTGTAGGAGATGATTTCAGAGCCACCTTTTCTATCTTTAATAAGGCAGAACAAATACGTTTATTTTTAAACCCTCCTGCTCTCTCCTTTCCTCTCGTGCTGACAACCAAAAGAGTCCCCCGTGTGTTCCCCCCCTTCCCATTTCTTGCACACCGCAGTGAGCGTGTGAAAGCTGGGTGTGGCATTTCGGCCGAATCCTGCTCTCCCCACCCCCCCCAATTCAGGAATGCTGCCATGGGGGGGTTGGCAGAGGGCAGGATTCGGATGCGTCATGAGCAGGGACGGGACGTGGGATGGTGCCCGACCCGGTGCCACCTTGTCCACCAGCTGTGCACATCTGTCCCGCCGCCCGCTCCCAGGGTGCCCATCTTTCCTCCATCCCCTCCCAAAAACACCCCGGTGCTCCCCCAGGCTTGGTCCCACGTGGTTTGGGGGTCGGGACCCGGCATCAGTTCACGAGGGCAGGTTGGCAACTGGGAGCACTGGTTTCCCAGGGGTGAAACGCTGAGTCTCTTCGCTGGGGTGATGGTGGTAGAGAAGCCGAGGGATGCAATGAAGTATCTGTACCTTTTCCACCTCTGGTGTTTCTCTGTCTCATTGCACATATATTTGAGATATATGTGACAATGTATATATATATTTGTAAAATGTATTTCAGATGACAAAACTGGCTAATTTTATGTTATTTTAAATATATTATATATATTATATATAAGAGTCTCCAAAAGATATAAATAGACTAGAGAAAATAATATAAATATGTAATAAATGTATTTTGATCTATTTAAAATATCTCGCGTCGTGCTGTATATTTTAAAGATCATAGGGAAGTGTCTGCCTGTAGCCAACTTCCAGTGTGGTTCCAAGTCTGTCAGCTGTCACACATACAGGATGTATGTGGAGCAAACTTTGAGCGAGACTGGGGTCAGCAGGACAAACAGAGGTTTTTTGGGTTTTTTTTAAAAGCCTTTTAGCAAATATCCATCCTGCTGTCTCTAGGTCAGAGCAGAAACCACACACACGAATTTTCCTTGTTATCCTGCAGGAAAGATGATTTTCCTCCCTGCATGGGAAGGCGTTGCAGGGATGGGGCTCTGCAGGGTCCCCCCTTCCCCCACGGCCCCATCCATGAGTCTCACTTGCTCCACTGCACTTCCTGATGGGATTTATCCAGGGGACAAGATCAGCTCAGCCATGCAGGGAGCCCGGAGATGGGAAAACGACCAGGCAGAACAAGTCCAGTCGCCTGAGACTGACCCAACAAATCTTCCCGGAGTGACCTTGGTCCCCCTTGGGCTCCAGGAGAATCTGCTGCCTCCGGGCTTTGCCTCCTGAGGGGACATCAGGGGACATCATGCCGTGTCCAAGTGACAGTTTAAATGTCTTTAATGGTCACGGCTGAAGGAAAGCGGAGAGAGTGTGTGGGATGTTATTTACGGAGAGGTTAATGGCCTGGTGGACACAGAGCCCCTGTATTTGCCATCCTGGATTTTCCTCCTGGCTTTCACACCTGGCTGCCCCAGGGAACGGGGTTCATGCACTGAAATTACCTGGAGAAATTCTTGATCATCCTTCCTCAGGCTGGTCATGGGTCTGAATCCGGGTTGGGTGATCAGTTGCTGATAGTTTCCACCCACAACTGATGGTCACCTGGGTCCCATCGGTTCCATCCCTTTTTCTCCATAAGGAAGTTTTTTTACTCATTAAAAAAAAAATCCCTGTCAGCCTCTCAGTCTAATCATCACAGAGAGGGCCAGAGCTAAGCAAGACTTAAGAGTAAAGCCCATTTGATTCAGCAAAGGGGGACACTGAGAGGTGACTTGATTACAGCATTTGTCACGGGGAGGATACACTGGTACAAAGAGGTAACCTAATCTACCAGGGAAAGGCATAATAACCACATCTTCCTGGAAGCAGAAGCCAGACAAATCTATCTTGGAAATAAGGAGAGATCTTTTAATAATGATTAGCTATTAGAGCAAGCCACCAATCTCTGTCTCTTAATGCCTTTAAATCTGGACCAGATGCTTTTCTGGAAGCTTTTCCCCGGGCTGAGGAGAGGGGCGGGGGTTTTTGGGGAAGGTGAGGGCCTGTTACGGGCAGGCGGGAGATGAGACGGGGAAAAACCTCTACTCCAAAACACGGGCTCTGGATCTCAGAAAGGAAAATGCCAGGGAGGAGGTGGGGGATGCTCTGGCAGGGCCCTGCCAGCATCTCTCCTGGGGACACGCACCGGCCCGTGCAGCAGCTTCCCACGGCTCCCGTGCCTCCGCTCCCGGGGACGGCTCTGCCACGAGGCACTGACTCCTCGTGCAGCAGTTTGCACTACAAACCCCACCGCTTCGTTTGTGGAAGCATTTAATGATTCAGGAGCCGGCAGCTCCCCGGGGATGGTTCCCACTGCCTCCAGAATTCCTCCCTCGGTGGCTGCTTGTAGCAGAAATCCCCGGGGAGCTGAGCTGACGGTGGCACCACGGGAAACGTGCTACCGGGGTGCTCGGTCCTGGCTTTATTTCCGATCCGACCATCCTCACCTTTGGGGGTTAGAGCTGAACTGAGGGGTGGGAGCAGCAGGGATGGCAAGGCAGTGGGTGGCTCAGCAGGGAAGGACCTCCCTTACACCTCAGATGCACGGTTGGGATGTTTTCGGCAGGGATTGCAACCAATGGGATGATGAGGTTGGGGCTGTTTCTTAGCTGGCAACCTCCACAAGATGTCTGTAAGTGCTAAAACCCTCATTTAATTCAGCATTGCACCAGCCCTCACCGACTGCCCTCCTGCCTCTTTCCCTTCAGCCTCAGGGGATCAGAGCATCTCTCTGTGCCCTTGCAGAGGCTTTTGGCCTCCCCAAAAGCAGGGTGGCTTTTCATCGGCTTGGATGGGTTTGGCTCAAACCCACTGAAATCTGGGTGGGTCAGTCCCTCACCAAGAAGTTGAGAGTAGGCAGAGGGGCTGGGAGCTCTGAGTTCCCACCAGATCCCATCATCTCAGAAGGATGAAGGCAGGAACTCTGCCCTGGTCAGGCTGGAGATGCTGCTCCTCCATCCATCGTGGATTCATCCTCTCTCCTGGCTACTCCCAGAACCTCAAGCCCTAGAAGCC